TGGAAGAAGGTAGCTGAGTTGTCTGTACGTTTGCCCCAGCAGCACAGTTTAAAATAAGCCGGCCTGTTTTATAGGTAATGCAAAGCACCTGTGGGTCAAGAAACCATCAGCTGAACTGTACAGTAAAAGCTGATGAATAAAAGACATATATAGCTCTGATTAACATTTCTTCTCCGCTCATGACAAAATGAAGCCTCAGCAGGCAGAGCTGGCCTTTCTGTTTGTAGCCCAGGGGTGAACAGTTACGTATTGCTTTTGTTACGTTAACACTAACAGGAAAGACACAATTATCTTGTGTACCTGTACTGAAGCATTTAATAACATGCATCAGCTAATACAAAAATACACTTCTGTTCTGGATCGGAGAAGATTTTGTTTGGATCTCAGTATCAACACTTAGGATGGCATTTCTCAGCAGTTAGTACATAACTGAGATAAATATCATGTAAAATGAGTTAGTCTGTTGAAGGCTGAGACATATGAGCACATTCAGTTGTTTATGTTGTAAGACTTTTCTGGAGCAACATCACCATAAATGAGCATATCGTATATCTTCTGTCCATCTTTCCTGAGGTCTCCTTACTGATGGGAGAGCAGACGTAACAAACTGAGAACAGACAGGAAACTTGAGCAGCTTGCTGCCATGATAAATATACTGACTGGGTGACTGTCTGAGAGTACTGAAAGCTAAGAACTTACACAAGTCTTGGAAAGACTTGGAAAAGACAGTATTTGTGTTACTATAGCTTTCTGTGCCGTAACTTTGATAGTTCTACTGGAAACACCTGCAATATGTCTGGATTTTTAACTAAGGTCTTTCATGCTTTGGCAGAAAGATATGCCTTGCAGCCGTAAAGCTAGCAGTTTATTTTCTAGGCTACAGGGCACTATGGGTGTGCGATGGAGCTGGAATCCTGTCAGACAGATGAAAGACGAAAGCAGTGCAGCTGAGGTGTAACTCCAGGAAGGACAGGCTAAGGGTCAGGCTGGAGGAGAGTAAAGTCTGCAGGCATCCCAAGGCAGGATGCAGAGAATCTTCTATTTCAGAGCATTGGAAGACATCAAAGAAAGACAGAGAGCAGAATGTGGGCTCTCAGATGGTTCCAGCGAGTGCAATGAGGTTTGCATAGGTGAGGAGCGGCAGCAACTTGCCATATTTGTTAGTGAGTCCCCATCTTCAATACCAGAAATAAAGCACGCACCTTCAGCTCATAAAGCTAAATGCCACCTGGATGTCTCATGCATTTCTGATTAGTTATGTTTCAAATGAAGATCAGGCAGTTTTGAGAGGATAGCCACTCTCATCTGGCAAAAGCAAAGGAAGAAATCCATTTTCAAATTCATATTATTCAATGATTATAATTACTCGTACTGCAGATTGCTTGTCACAGCATCTCTGCTGATGGAAAAGCCTAAATAGTATAGTGATACTCTTCCAGACACAAAGATCTAGAAGTTCTCCAGAAAATTTCTTATGTGTCTAAAGAATGCTAGCCAAAAATATATTCAATTATTTCCATAGGTACTCAAGACTATAATCTATCAAAAATAGGCAGATAGGAGTATTAGAAACTGTGCACTTACAATTTGTAGTCCTATGCCTAGCGTTGTTCTTTTTCTCAAGGAAACCATCGAGAAGAGTCTGTGATAAGCATCCTTCATTTTGTTTCTTGGCCAGCCTCTTTATTTATTTTTTCTGTTTTCCCTTCAACTACACTTCTTTCTGGAAAATACTCACAGAAGAATGTTTTGAACACTTCTAATTAATGTTAGCTGACATGGCCATCTCTAGAGCCTACACAGACCTGGTGTACATGTTTCAAAAGACGCACATATCACTCCCACTCTGTAATTCAAAAAGCTGTTTAAGTTCTGCAGTGCTTTACTGACAGCCTGGCTTTGTGTCTTATTCTTTAATCATGTTTTGTTTAAAGGCTGATTTTATTTCCTATGTTTTGCTTTTCTCATTTCATTAGCCAAAATAGCCATTCAGCTCATTTTATTTCCTTTCTCAGTTAGCGGAACAGAAATGTTTTCAAACATATATGTTCCTATTTGTGAAATATACAGTGTTTATTGTCTTCCATGTTATGAACAGTTCTCACAGCTTTGTCTGCTGCTTAGTCCACATTTGTGTTACTGGTACAATTTGTCTCAACATCATTTGGAGGATCAAGGCAAACATTTTTGGCTGGGGGTCATTTGGAAACACATTATCTGAGTTGGCGGTTTTTCCATCAAAGATCAGAATAAGTCAAAGGACTACTCACTTGCATGCATACTGCTCATGTGAGTAAAGGATTTTAAAATGTTTGTTTCTCTTCTCTAAGTCAAACCTCTGTAACAAAACAAAAGGAACTGGGGATTGGATCCTTGTGCTGAACTTAGAGGTTCCACCACCCTCAACCTGTAGCTGTAATTACGATTCAATTAACTTTATTAAACTCATGAGCAGTTTGAGAAAAAGATTTTTCCAGACTAATAGGTTTGATGAAAACAAAAAGATTGATAAAAGGAAGGGTTTTAAATGAGGCTGAATACATTCACAATAGCAATTATTATTATCAACAACAGCTTGGTAAAATGTACGGTGCCTATTTTGTGAAAGACTTTATTATTAAACAAAGCTGTGATTTTGTGCTTCAGCATCCAACAGTGCTTGAATACATTAACAGCTTGTACTGAGCGCAGACAATTTAGTTCCAGATCTTTGGAATTGTTACAGAAAATTGGCAAAAGAAGTAAATCTAAAACACTTTTATGGCCACTGAGCCTTCTTATGAGTAGATGCACGTAAACATCGAGAAAGTTTCTCTTGATGGAGGTCCTCCCTAAGCATTTCAGCCTTCTGGAAGAGGGTGGGCGCCTTTGGAAAAGGAGCAAGCGTTTCAACAAATAAACCTCCTATTTCTTCTTGCTGCATGGAAGGCCAGACCTGGCATAGGGAATTACAATTCTTTGCTAAATGGGGTTGCCAGTACCAAAGGCAATATGTGATAGGTAGAAAATTCTCCTCATCACCACAGTCCTGCACATATTGCAGCTATCACTAAAATGTCTCTAAGAGCCACAAGTTGCTGCAGACAGCCTTCTAGCAAATGCTTTTGTTAAAAGCTCAGGATATGTATGGATCCCTTTTAACAGAAAATCCCAAAGCACAGAGAATCCCATCCTTTTATTCTCAGTCTGCTCATTTTTATTCTTAGCTTATTTCACTTTTCAAGGAAATGCATTACATTTGATAGAGATAAAATATTGCTTAAATATATTTTACAATAAGCTGAATAATTTCATTTTATTCTTTTACTTAAAAACCCTGCCACCTGGGACATAATTATTGTTGTTTAAAAAATCTAAGTGACTCAGTGCAGTATGAACTAATTAGATCCCTCTTTTGTTTAAATCCTGCACTGAAGCTAAGAGAAATTTTGGCTCCATATGCAAGCCTCTAAATCAGGATCTCCTTTAGCCAACCTTGCTATATATATGGGATTTCGCTAGCAATGAAAAAATCTGCGTCTTCTAGTCATGAAAAAATGCACATGTTGCTGTTCTGCTTTTTGTTTCGTTAAAAAAATAAAATAAAATTGAACACCAAACTATGAAGATATAAAATGGATAATCCTTTCATTTCTTCTGTCACATGATAGGGTGAGATATCAAGATTTGTTTGATGATGGCCATGAAAAATAACATTTCACTAATCCTGTGCATTAATTGTGATTAAATCACACAACAAAACAGTGATGAATACAAATGTGCTTGAGGGCCACTCCACACACAAGCTTTTCCACTCAGAGATTCAACAGAGATGCAGGCTGGTGGGTTTATCCAGTGAACTTCTGGGCCCTGCTCAAACACCACAGTGAGGTCATTTTTTCCTCCCTTATTTCAGACTGAATTTAATCACAGATCGGCAGCAAAATAACAGAAATTAAAAAAAATAATTTAAAAGAAAGAAAAAAACAACTTTAAAAGAGAAAGAGGTATCTATATACCATGGGAGATGGATCTGTGAACCCATTTGTGGCCTGAGACGACCCAGCTTTTAGGACATCTTCCATGGCTTATCTCTAGTCCAAAGCTTTTAGGAAAGAAGGAGATTTGGAAAGGTATTGTTTTTATAACCAGAATTACAAGCTGACCCCAGGGATTTTTCTTTCCTAGAACTGGTGAACATGGGCTTAGCTGACTGCATCAGTGAGCATAGTGTGAATGCTAAAAATGTAATAAATAATGTGTAATAAAGTAATCTACTTCCCCTGATAATTTGTACCAACATAAATGAATAATTATACAAGAAAAAAACAATAGCTGGCATATTTATAGGAAATTTTGCTTATGCTGCTTCTAACTCTCTGTTGCATGTGACAGTTATTGCACCCTGGGGATTACAAATTAAAAAAAAATGTTATAAAATCTTGCTTCCTCCAAGGTGCACATAGATATTGACTTTGGCCAGCACGAGAAATGGAGCATGGACCCCAGGTTGTGCCAGATGTCTACCCCGCTCACCAGAGAAATGGTGTGGGTTTGTTCATCATTTAAATGGGCACCTGAATTTTCTGGCTTTCAGCAGTACATATTTAATTTCTTTGTGCTTGTGGATCTGCTTTCACATGTAAAACATGTGCATCATTTTCTACTTGAAGCAATGCTTTTAAAGTGCAGTTTAGCCTCGTGTGCCATCCCTCCCTCTTCTGAGTTCCTATGGGATGGGTTGATAATAACACTGATCCTGAGTTCATTCTATATGCTACTTTTCAGTTATGATCATAGGGCACTGATTTGCTGTTGGCAATGTTTAACAACAGTTTCAAGTCCTGTTCCAGAGCCTCTTCAGTAAAGCGATGTTACATTTGAGCTCAACATCATGCGAGACAAAGCTATTCCTTGAAAATGTAATCCATTCATGTGGATGATGTTTTGCTCAGAGACTTGGATAGGACAGTGCACTTCTGCATGATCCTTGGTTCTTTCTTAAAAACTTTTCATATCAGGTGTCCAAGAAGATGACCATGGACCAATCCATAGTTGCTTCATTATATGACTGAATTTTTCTTGGACCTGGGTATTCCTTTCCCCAAGTTGAGATATTCACCTGGAAGACCTGTTTCGTCATCCTGAGCTTCTTTGTGTAACTCAGCCAACAGAACCTCCTGCAGGTAGGTATAAAAGCATCCAGCAAACAGTTCTATGCCAGGAGCAATGGCCAAGTTATCCATTGGACACAAAGATAGGAGCTATGGACAGACGGCAGACAAATGCTTGGGATGGGAGTCTTTTCCTCTAATTTCCATTAATTTCCACTAATCAGAGGTGGTGCCAGTTGCTGATGGGTTTTGGATTTTCTGTTTGGTAACGTACTGCTTTCTGCCCTGTTGCTCTGACACTATTTACTCTCAGCAGTGCTAGAGGTGAAACCTCCAAGGCTGCATACAGCAATATGATCACTCACCACAGGAACATCCATCCCAACTACAGATGGTTGCTTCACCAACTGCATTTTGCTGTTCAATTGTCTAATAGATAGAACATTTTGCTTCTCTCTGCTGTAAATCTGTAGTGGTGCTATCTGCATCATGCTGCAATTGGTAACGTTGTAATCAGTGAGGTACCTAACTGTTTCTAGAGCATTTGAGTTCATTTAGTTAAATCATTCACAGTTTCCTCTCTAAAGTTTCACTGCAATTTTAATTCCTGCAAACATCCTCCAGTTGCTACTGAGCATGAATTTAATTAAGATATAATTCTTTGCTAATGAGAGTGAGTCAATCAGATAAATAAGCTAATAGTGCCAGGGCTACTCCTTGTTTACAGCTCAATGCTATAAATTCTGTGGACTGTGCACATATTAAGGAATTAACAGTTTCAGTGCGTGAGCTCTGGCTTATACGAGAACTGTTTTTCCTCTATGAAGTTCTGAAAGAAATGGGAACATCTGAGCAGTCATTTGCTCTTCCACCACAGTAAAACACTATTTCACAGAGCTCCCTAGCAGTAGATAATTGTGTTCTCCAACCTGCAATTTCCTCCCATAATTAGTAGATCTTAGAGATCTTCTCCCTCTGCCCTGTCATCTGTGTTAACGTGAGCCTTCAGTCTTATTTTTTTGTGGACAATTTTATTTATCTTTGTGAAATAATTAATTATTCTTGGACAATCAGAGCAGCTCATCAGATGAGGCCCTTTGGCCTTCACACGCTTGTGCTTTCCAAGCCTTTCTGGCTAAGCCAAGCACTTCTTGCTTTGCACTGATGTGAGCTTCTGACAGCATGATAGCCCTCTGCACAGGAAAAGGAACATTTGATCTGTTTTATTGTGACTGTTTTCATTTACTTGTCTTCATTTTGGCAGGCTTTATAGGAAACAGCAAGTTGGCAAAAAATACATAACTGCCTAATAAGTTGTGATGCATCTGTATTTTGAATAAGAAAATAAATAATACTAAAATACATTAATTCTATAAGATTACATGGCAAATCATATAGATACACAGGGACTAATTTCCCCATGTTCATATGTAAAGAGAATAAATATTGGCAGCCAAGGCACAGTCAACCAAAACCATGCAACAGGATATAAACAGGCAATGCAGACACTTGTTCTAGTTTGGTTTGGTTTGGTTTGGTTTTTTTGGATACAAGACCATGCACGTGGTTTAGTACCTTCACAAGCTATATATATAGCACAGATGCTTCCAATTCATGAGGACATTTTAGTCATGCAAACAAAGGAAAAAAATACTTTTCAGTCTGGATTGCAAATTACCCCCGAGAGGCACAACCACTTAAGCCCCAGCAGTCTGGAAGCTCTCTGTTTTGACTGGTAGAGATGTGACAGCACAGTAAAAGGCAAGGTGGTTGTTTCTCAGAGCTATGGATTAGGTCAATACAGGTCCAACAAAGGCAACCCATAGGAGGTTATGTACAGTGGCTGCTGTAGGGATATTGGAGATATATGCTGAGGTGACAGTAATCAGATCGCTTTTCATGGGGGAAGTCCTCATGTAAGTAAATGGGTGATGAGAGAAAAGCATAGGAGGGGGTCTTTAGCCTTGCTATTTAAAAGAAAATAACATTTTAGAAAAAATAATGAAAAAGGTGGAGAGTAAAAAAGTGAGCAATAGGGAAAAGGAGGCTTTTGTTATATTCTGCCAAGATGCTTTATTTTTAACACACTAATTCAGAAGAGTAGTACATGCTTGAAAAAGTAAAAAGAAAAAAGAAAAATAACTACTGAATTAACTACTATTTTATTTGCAAAATAAAAGATACTTAATATACATTTCGTGTCTGCTGCCCACCTCCCAAAAATATGTTTTTCTGCATATTAACCAGGCTATCAAAGGACCATCATGTAGAATTATATACCCACAAGGAATCTTTGTATGAACCTTTCAGAGAGAATTACCTTGGTTATTTACATAAAAACATCTAGATAATACATAAATTACTTCACCTTCTAAATTAAGAAAAAAAAAAATTTGAAGGCATATGTTGAGAATTAATTCTTACTGAATGAAATTAATTCACAATATATGCCTTCAAAATGGCTCATGGCTAAAGAGTAGTTCCCAGCACTCCTTAAAAGCAAAGTCAAGGAGCACTTATTTTTAGCTGAATTAATTAGTAGCTGTGAACATTCCCTGAATGATGTGGCATAGACTTTCTGGTACAAAGCTTTTGGAATTATATGTAGAACAACTGTACATTCAAATATTCGTTTCCATTATCACAGAAAATAAGAATGATGCTTTTTTTTTTTTTAACCCCTCGTTCTTAATTTATTTCCTCACTCTAAAATTTCTCATGAAGGATCAAGTTATCCTTGCTTTTTGAAACATATTTTCCAAGAACTGCTGTAGTCAAGAGCTGCAAGGTCTGGGACTGTCATTCTCTTGTCTTACACATACTTACAAATAAAATTAAACTGGCCAAAAGAAGAAAAGAAAAGAATGAGTACACACTTCCTACTTATGTATGCTTAGTTGCTTCCCTCTCTGCAAAAAGGGGAATATGAGAACATTGCTTCACATATCTCTATTGAACTAAGGCAACCAGTCACAGATTAGTATAATAAAGTAGATTTTCTCAGGGGAAAACTATCAGGTAAATAACAAATGAAAATACAAAAAGAAATGTAGGAAATGCAAATGGTGAATACAGAAATGGTGACAGCACCATTTAGCTATGTTACACCTGCATAACAATGTTTAAAACACTGGTGCAGAATCTTTAATTGCTTGACATTCCGATTACTCATTCACTCGTAACTTCATGACAGTGCTTTTTTTTTTTTTGCTTGGTTGTTGGTGATTTTTGTTTCTTTTTGTTATTTTTGCTATGTATATATTGAACTGTAGATGTCTTGACATAAATCAGTGAACCAGAACTAGAAAAGTTCTATTCTGCTTATTTAAATAACAAGACTTCAATGCATTATTCATTCCTAGGCACTCTCCTCATTGGAAGAAGCATATGAGAAAAGAAGGCATTATATCTACCAATTTTAAAAGAAATATTTTATTCCGAAGGACTTTCTGGAATTGCCTGAATGGTAGAATAATGAATGTTTTCAATAATAAACTGCTTTCAGCTTTAGCCCATGAGACAGAAATGACAAATTTGGTCACATCATTGATTAAATTCTTTAAGCACACACTGCACATCTCATACAACGTGATCAGTGTTGTATTTAGATAGCCAGCAAAACAACACAACACTGAAAACTAGAATTATGGCGGGTCCTTGCCTGCTACTTCAACATGTGCATTTACCTTAAGGATCATTTTATGTATAGCCCAACACCAAGAAATATATCTCACAGAAGACTTGCAAGCTCCCATATTTTTGCCTATGCCTGCTCTGCTGAAGTGGAAATCTGATTCTCAAGAATCATTCCTTTAACCTTTTAACAATAAAAATGGTGACTTCCAATGCTTAAGAGAAAAATAATAGTCATACCTGCATATTTCTCAGTCTTATTGTATGGAGAACTTGAATTTAACAATTAATACTGTTTAATCAATTTGAACCCTAGACAATTAGACCTATACTTTATAGCTGAAATATGCTGTTCAGTTGTTAAGCCTATCCTCTACTAACAACAGGAAATGAGTTGAAGATGGCCACAGGGCAAGAAAGCTGACCTGTGTCCCTCCATCTGCTTCAGGGGAGATCTGCATGGAGTGCACTCAGCTGACTGGGCAGCCATGATGTGCTTCTGCAACTTCCAGTGAAAAGAGATCATTTTTTGATGTTCTGCAGCTGCTTTTGCAACATCCACTCTTACCTCCTTCTCTGGGAACTGCTGAATCACGGCCTGAGCCTCTAATTGATCACTTGAGGCCATCAATGAGTCAGCCCAGGGAGCACAAGTGAGGACAATTCACCTGTGCTGCTAGAAGTGGTGGAGCTTGGCTCCACCTCTCCTAGACCCCATTTAAAAGCTGACTACCAGTGCAGAAGGATCTTTGTCTGGAGATCCCTCCTTCAGTTTTTCAGTAAGCCTAGGACAAGAGTGAGCCCTCTATTCTTTGTGATGTAATAGCCTGTTTAGTCAAACTCTCTTGCATGTTTCTTATTTATAACACCTGTATATTCACACTTCCTAGAGTTTGGAGTATCTCAAAAACCTAAGCAACTCACCTGTCTCCTCCCCAGTGTTAAGACATTGCTTAGACTACCAAGATAGATGAGCATAGAGCACTACTGTGGAGCCTCGACTAACCCAAGCTAAAGAGGTGGAGTGCTATTAGAAAATCCTGGCACATCTTGAGTGAGGCAGATCCTAATAAGGGAACAGAAGTGTCATTCTTCTTCCTTACAGTTTTAAAGAGTGAGCAGGGCTGACACTTCCTGGAAACTAAAAATCCCAACAGACATTTTCAATTCCAACTCATCTTTATCTTATTAAATAACTAAGGCAATCCAACTATATCAGCATGAGAAAAGCTCAGTACATGCAAAATAACTTATTGTTCTGCAAGCAGGACCTTGTTGTGGAATTAGCAGTATCTTTCTTTCCAACAGCCTACAGAGGACATGAGCTTTGACATTCTTTGTCACAAAGGTTTGTCCCAGTTCTAGAGGTTGTTTGAGAAGAAAACTGTTTCTTTGAGGAAAGAAAGGAAAAAGTGGATTGTAGCTAATGTGTATTTTCT